ATAATTTTCTTCTCTCTCATTCTCTGGTGAGTGCAGGTGCCCTATAGCACATTTAAAAAATAATAATAATAAAATTAAATAGTTCTTTAAAAAGTATATATAAATTTAAAGTAAAAATTCCTTCATTTCACTACCCCTAAAACCATGCCCCACAGTTAAACTTTATTTTTATTTTTTTGACAGAGAGCACATGCACTTGCCAGAAAGAGATGACAAGGAGACAGAGAGAGAAGGAGGAAGCACATCCCCCTGATATGGTTGCCATCACGGCGCAATCCCTTCTCCGCCATTTCTCCATCCTGTCAGGATGTACGGCATGCATGCACACACAGCCGGCATGGTTTTCAAGTCACAGGAGCCAAGACCTGAACCCTGGTCAGCCGTGTGAGATCTGGCTCACTTAATCCCTAGGTCACAGAGCCAGCTCCCTGGTTAAATTTTAAAACAGTGATTCTTTTTTTGTTTTTGTTTTTTTTTTTTCAGAGAAATTTTTGCCATAGGGCAAATGTGCTTACCAGAGAGACAGAGAGAAAGAGAGAGACAGAAAGCAAGAAATCACCCCCTGGGCCAGGGGTGGGGGGAATAGCCATGCCGTAATCCCTTTTCCTCCCTTTTCCTTTCAGGATCTTGGGCATGCGCAGAAATGCGACTGACCTGAGTTTTAAGTTGCTGGGTCTGGGATTCGCACTACAGTCAACTACGTGGGAGTCCAGCAATGTTACCTACGCCATCTGCTGGTCCCGAAAACAGTGATTCTTAAACTCTTCTGCTCTAAACATTTATCTTGGGAGATCTTATCCATGCCTATGATTTTGAGTTTTATGTACAGTTTGATGTTTTTCCAGTCTCTACCCCCGAGTTCCAGAAACTGACAACCAATGTCTATAGGAAACTCCACCAAGTTAACTACAGGCACCAAAACACATGTCCAAACTCTGAATTTTTTTTTTTTTTTTTAAATCAATCCCCAGGCTGCTCTGTTGGCATCATTTCCCATCATCTAACCTCAGGTGAAAGCATGGATCTTCTGACTGCTCTTACCTCCCAGATCAAATACTTTGTTCTTCTCTTATATAAAGAATTTTAAATATTGGGGACCAGCAGGTGGCGTGGTGGTTAAGGTGCTGGACACTCTCACATGGCCAACCATAGTTCGAGCCCCAGACCTGGTGGATTGCTTTCTTGCTCCCCTCCTCCCCTCTCTGGTCAAATTAAAATAAATGAATGGATAAATAAAATGAAATAAATAATTTTATAAAGGAATTTAAAATATTGTTAGTTTTTGCCACATAACTCAGCAATCCCATTATCCCGTTACTAGGTAACAAAACTAGTGGAAAAGAAGTCCACCATAAAGTATTTGCACCCCAATGTTCATGGCAGCACTATTTACAATAGCCAAAATATGGAATCAACCTAAGTGTCCGTCAACAGGTGAATGGATAAAGAAAATGTGATACGTGTGTGTCTGTGCATGTGTGTATGCACGCACACAAATAATGAAATACTATTCGGTCATTAGAAAAATAAACTCCTGTCATATGATGTTAAATGGGTGAGCTTGAGGACAGCATGTGAAACGCAATAAACTAGGCATAGAAGAGAAATACCACACGTTCTCCTTCACTGCAAAAGAAAAGACCTCATTGCAGTAGTGTAATAGGGGGCCAGCAGGTGGTGTGGTGGTGAAAGTGTTGGATTCCCACATGGCTGACTGAGGTTCAAATCCTGGGCCTGGCGGCTTGCTTTCTCACTTTCCCTCTCTCTCTCTGTCTCTGGTAAGTGTATATACCCTGTAATAAGTTTTAAAAAATAATAATAAATAACATTAAATAGATAATTCTTTTTTTTTTTTTTTAAGAATTAATGTAATGAAGAATGACTACTACAGGTTGGGAAGGGTGGGAGGGATGGAGGGACTTGATTAATGGAAACAATATTGTACATAGGGACTGGTAGATGCTGTAATGATTATGTTGCTGGATTCCCATGTAGTCGACCATGTTTCAAGTCCTGGACCTGGCGGCTTGAAACTCATACCGGGCACGTGTGTGCGCAGACCCAAAATCCCAAGAGAAGAATGGAAGAGAAGGGATTGTGGCATGGCCATACCCCCTGGGGGGTGATTTCTCTCTTTCTATCTCTCCAGCAAGTTCATGTGCCCTATAGCAGAAACCTCTCTTAAACAAACAAACAAACAAACAAAAAAAAACAAAGCAAAAGCAAGGGGCCATAATGTAGTGTGGTGGTTAAGGGCACTGGACTCTCACATTGCTGACCGCGGTTTGAGTCCTGGACCTGGCAGCTTGCTTTCTCACTTTCTCTCTCTCTCTTTCTCTCACTCTGTCCCTCTCTAGTCAAATTAAAATAAACAAACAAACAAACAAACAAATAGAGTTAGATAAAAAATAATACTTTAAAAAATTGCAGGTAGATGAAAGGAACAATTTAGTGTTATTAAGTATAGTGGGGAGGATACAGTTGGCAACAACGTGCTGTGTATCCCAAAATAACTCAACAGGAGGATTTTAGATGTTCCCAACTTGATGACAGGTTTGCTAATTGCTCTGATTTAATCATTACTCATCATATTCTTGTGCTGAAAAAAACGTATTATACCCTTCCATAAATATGTAAAGTTATTATGTATTAATAGAAAACATTTTAAAAAGTAATTAAAAATGCTGTATGAGGGGCTGGCAGGTGATGTGAGGGTTAACAGGGCACTGGACTCCCACATGACTGACCATAGTTTGAGTCCCAGACCTGGAAGCTTGCTTCTCACTTTCCTTCTCTCTCTCTCTCACTCTGCCCTTCTCGGGTCAAATGAAAATAAACAAATAAATAATGAAGTTAAATAAAATAATTCTTAGAAGAATGTTGTATGAAGTCATCTGTGTTGACCTTTTCCTTTTGGCTGCTTTTTTCCTGAGTCCAGAGGGTTCTTTGGAGGAGTGAGTGGGGCAAGGCTATAGTCATGGAGGTTCTGGGGTGAGGAGAGCTGGGCATGGTGGTTGTCATACACATTCCATGGAGGAGCCCCGGCAAGGGGGTGGGAGTCAAGCTGGGGGCAGTCATGAGGGGCATCTTAGTTTGGGTCCCCCTACGATACTCATGGGTGCATATGGTTGATTTAGGAGGTGATTCAAGGAAGTGGAAGTGAAGGAGGTGATTCAAAGAAATGGAAGTGAAGGAGCATTACAGTGAAACAGTGAGGGGGGATGTCTATACAATGTGTGTTAATAGTGGGTTACTGCAGGCAGCTGGAGCTTACTCCCTGGGGACTGGGGAACTGTGTGGAGTGCTCTGGAGAACTGTCCCTCCAGAAGACTGTGAGGCCGATACCAGTCGCCACCGTTCGTGGCTCGCCTCCAGAGAGTTGTCAACACCCTCACATTTCTGGAGTGCACCTGCATAGTGTCATTTAGTGTCTATTTGAGGAAAGCATTTAGCAGCTGGAATCCTTTGACAGCTTCTCTTTACGGTCTTATTCCAGCACTAGTGGAGAGATTCACTCCGGGGTCCCCCTGCCCACAACGTACGCATGAATGTAGGTCCTCAGTTCCCTGGCAGGTGGCTGAAATTCCAGCAGCAACATCTCAGCCACTCGTTCAGTTCACAAAGTATCGGTGCTGAGACTCAGCTGCCCCGAGGGAACCCTCTCTAAGTTGCCATTTGTATTTTCTGTAATTACGGATAAGATGGATTGGCCTCTGCTATTTACCTGTTTCATCTCTGATGTCTCTGTCCCTGTTTCTCAATTACAGACTTTTAATGTGTTAATTTTTTTTTTTTTACTTTATCAGACATTTTATTTTTTTCATTCTAGCATTTGACTTTGATAAGTACAAAAGGTTCACAAATGCAAAAGATTCTATATAGCTTTGTGGTAGTTAAAAATTCATGAAAACAATTTTCAAAGTTGGGTAATGCTCACCTCTCTGTAGCTGAGTGACAGTCTTCTTATGCTGTAAAAATGGCATAAACTATTACACTGTGGTTATGTTAACATTTTTGATGACTCTTTTTCACCTGTTTCCAGAAACCTGTCTTGTGACATTTATACTGGCTGAATCCCTTACCTGTGTTTCCCTATAGCCCAGTTCCTGCCTTTACAGGGATTCACTGATGATACCTTTGTTTTCATAGTCAGCATGTGATGTTCTGTCCAAAGAAAGATTCTGCGACAGCTTCAGAAGCAAGAAAATCTAAATTTAGACTTATAACTATTGTCCTTTCTGATGTTAAAATTTAAAAAATAAAGCAATGCTGGACCAGCAGTTAGCATAATGGCTATGTCGCTGGACTCCCACATAGTTGACCATGGTTCGAATCCCGGACCCGGTGGCTTGAACTCACTCCAGGTGCGGGTGCGTGCGTGTCCAAGATCCCAAGAGGAGAATGGAGGAGAAGGGATTGCGGCGTGGCCATCCCCTCTGGGGGGTGATTTCTTGCTTTTTGTCTCTCTGTCTCTCTCTGTCTGTCTGGCGAGTGCATGCACCCTATAGAAAAAACCTCTCAAAAAAAATTAAATTAAAAAAAACCCCAAAAAACAATGCTGACAAAGACTGTTGATTTTTTATTAGTGTTAATTTCTTTTCTTTCAAGGATTTAATTTTTATCTTTGCATTGCAGATGAATTATATCTGATGATTTTTTTTCCCAAAGTATTAAACAATATTTTGAAAAGATAAATTTTTCCTATCCATAGGATTCTGAGTAAAAATGACATATTGGAACAGGAGAAGCCTATCTTCCTGTTTCTTACCTAAAAATCCTGGTGGGCAGAAGACAACTGAGATCTCTATGGTCTGTTTAACAACTCGAGTTATGGTTCAAATGAAAAACAAAACAAAACCCCAAACTCACTTTAATCATACATAATAAAATAGCATCAGAACACTGTAGATGTGAAGACCAAAGAAACAATGAAAAGCCAAATTAGAAGCTGTCTTACAACTTAGATTTCTTTTTCCTCTGCTTGATAAGAAATAGATTACCATCGCCATCATCTCCCAGGTATCTCTCCTTGTTCTTCCGCTTGCCCTGCTTGCCCTCTTTGGGAAGCTTGTCATCTCTTGGCTTGAGGTCATGTGATGGATGGTGAAACGGCTCGTGAGGCTTCTGGGTTTTAAGGCTGCCAGGGGTTTTGGGTCCCTAGGAAAGTCCTCACCTACTTTGCAATGGCCATCAGTCATCCTGTTCTTCCCACGTTTTCCATCCCTAGCCCCCATTTCTTTGGGGGTTTCTTGATTTTCTTGAGGCCACCTGTTGCTCTTCCATGAGGCATGGCTCTTCTTCATACCACAGTGGGGCTTCTTACCTGCCACTTGCAGGTGAGGGCTCTTGAACTGCCTTGGAAAATTCCCATTTTTCTGGAGTTCTTTTACTTTTCGTGAATGGAGATGTTGGGGACGTCTGGTTCATCATCCGTCTTTCTGAGCATTCGTGTCCACAATGGCCATTCTGTGCATGGTTGTAGCAATACACTAAGGCTGGTTGTCCGGAAGGGGTCTTTGGCTTTTTGGGTGGTCCGGGTTTGGTCTATGAAAGGTCCATCCCATCGACTATTCTTGCTGAAAGCTTTTCATGCACCAGGAAACTCAGTAAATATCAGAAGTTAAAGCATAAGCCTACCACGCCCCGGATTTACTCCTAATGTCTCTTCAAAGTGCAGCCCGATGCGACGATGACAAATGATTTTCTCTTAATGTCATTTTACATAACCCTTTTTTCTGCATGAGTAGTTCAGTGTGAAGTCTGTTAAATAGTTTTTAGTATACCATTTTAATTTCCTTGTAGTTTCTTTCACTATAACTTTTTTTTTTTTTTTTTGAGTGAGAGTGAGATTTTTGCTATAGGGTGCGTGTGCTTGTCAGAGAAACAGAGAGACGGAAAGTGAGAAATCAACACCTGGGGGGACGGCCACGCCACAGTTCCTTCTCCTCCATTCTCCTCTTGGGATCCTGGGCATGCACACATGTGCCCGGCATGAGTTCTAAGCCTCTGAGTCCAGGACTCAAACTGCGATGGACTACGTAGGAGTCCGGCAATGTAACCATTATGGCATCTGAGTCCTATCTTTAACTATAATTTTTAAGAGACAGAGAGAAATAGAAAGTGAGAAATCACCCCCTCCAGCAGGGTGGGGGATGTTGGCCATGCCGCAATCCCCTCTCCTCCACTCCTCTCTCAGAATTTTAGGTACACAGGCACACATTCCTGGCGTGGGTTCCAAGCTGCCAGGTCCAGGACTCAAATCACGCTCGAGTACGCGGGAATCCAGCAATTCAACCACTGTGCCATCTGCTGGTCCCATTTTAAAAGTTACTTTCTTAGTGGTTGTCCTGGGATTATACTTAATATCTTTTCTTTTTAAAACAATAATTATTTATTGTTTATTATGGTATATTTTTAAAAATTTGCTATAGGACACATGTACTCATGAGAGAGAGGGGAGAGAGAGAGAGAGAGAGAGAGAGAGAGCAAGCAAGTCACCCGGTCTGGGACTCAAACCAGTTGGCCTTGTGGGAGCCCAGAGCCTCAAACGCCATGCGACCTGCTGGCTACTATACTTAGCATCTTAAATTAAAAATAATCTAGTTTGGGACCAGCAGATGGTGTAATGGTTATGTCGCTGGACTTGTACGTAGTCGACTACAGTTCGAGTCCTGGACCAGGCGACTTGAAATTTGCGCCAGGTGTGTATGCGTGTGTGCCCAAGATCCCAAGAGGAGAATGGAGGAGAAGGAATTACGGTATAGCCATCCCTCCTGGGGGGTGATTTCTCGCCTTCTGTCTCTCTGCCTCTCTCTGTCTCTCCTGTGAGCACATGCACCCTATAGCAAAAATCTCTCTTAAAAAAAAAAAAAGATTTGAGCATGCATGCACATGTACACAGTGTGTTTCTCAAGCCACTGGGGCCAGGACCAGTGGTTGACATGTGTGATCTGACTCCTTTAACCCACTAGGCTAACCACTAGGCTACAGGCCTCCTTTAATTCTTTAGACATGTTTTCCTTCAGTTCTTCGAACATATTTGTAATATCTCATTTAACATCTTTGTATAGTAGACCTAATATTTGGTTCCCTTTGGGGAGAGTTTTTACTGAATGCTTCCAATGTATGGGACATATATTCCTTCTATGTGCATCTCATGATTTCTGTTAAAAAATGAGCATTCCAGGTGACAATGGGTCAGCTTTGGAAATCAGATTTCTTCCTTTTCTATTGTGTTGTTTTTTATTATTGTTCCTATTTTTTCTCATTGGTTTAGAGATTTCTTTTTCTTTTAAGGGAGATTTTTTGCTATAAGGCGTGTGCGCTTGTCGGAGAGATTGATGGAAAGTGAGAAATCACCCCTCAGGGAGGATGGCCACGGCATAATTCCTTCTCCTCCATTCTCCTCTCAGGATCTTGGGCACACATGCACACATGCCAGGTGTGAGTTTTAAGCTACCAGGTCTGGGACTTGAACTGCAGTCGACTACATGGGAGTCCAGTGATGTGCCCATTATGCCATCCGCTGGTCCTGGCTTCGAGATTTCTAAGTTAGTCAGAGATTTCTTTGGTTTCTTTGGTCAATAAGTATTCTGACGCTTTGTCATGGGGTTCTGTGTTTATAGTGGGGGCACCCAGGCAGTTTTACAGCTCCCATTTAGCATACACATATACGTAGATATTTTTTTCATTTTTGCTAGAGGGCAAGTACACTTGCTGGAGAGAGATGGAGATAGAAGTAGAAAGAGAGAAAGTGAGAAAGCACCCCTATAAGGAACGGTCATGACCCAATCCCTTTTCCTCTGTTTCTCCCTCCTTTTGGGATTTTGGACACACAAGCACGTGGAGCCTCCAGGTCCAGGATGCGAATAGCATAGTTGGCCATGTGAAATCCCGCTGCCTTAAGCACTGTGTCACCAGCTGGCCCAAAGTCAGATTTTTAAAAAAGAATTATTAATTTAATTTAATTTATTTATCATTATACATGTTTTAAGTTTCCTACAGGGCACATGCACTCACCAGAGAAAGACAGAGAAAGAGATACAGAGAGAAAGAAAAATAAGGAAGCGAGCCACCTGGTCCGGGCCTCTAACCACTGTCAGCCATGTGGGAGTCCAATACCTTAACCACTAGGCTACCTGCTGACTCCAAGTCAGATTTTTTTTTTTAGTTTTTCGCTATAGGGTGGGCGCGCTCGCCACAGACAGAGAGAGACATAGAGACAGAAAGCGAGAAATCACCCCCCAGGGGGGATGGTCACGCCGCAATCCCTTCTCCTCCATTCTCCTCTCAGGATCTTGGGCACGCACGCACACGTGCCTGGTGTGGGGTCTGGGACGCGAACCACGGTCGACTACGTGGGAGTCCAGCGACATAGCCATTACGCTAACTGCTGGTCCCCAGTGTTTTTATTGTTTTTATGAAGGTCCTCACTCCTGAATGCCTATCTCCAGAACTTGTGTTTTTATATATGTACATGTTTTTTTATCATGGAAAATTCCAAGCACATATAAAAGTGGAGAGAATAGGATAATAAAGTCCCGTGTATCCACCAAGCCAGGTTCAACAAGGATTAACACATGGCTGATTTCGTTTCTTTTCACGCTAGCCCGGATCCCAAGGAAGCAGAGCCTGAGGCAAAGACATGTGGATTCTTTATTCAAAAGGGCTTTCTCAGGGGTTCCGATCCCAGGCAGCCAGAACATGCTGGACACAGCAGTAATCTAGCTAACTGGGAGTCTGGGGCAGGAGGGTCCCGACACAGGAGACCCTGTCAAAGGTGTCTCTATCTCTGTCTCCCCAGCTTCCTATAAAAGAGCAAAGGGGGCAGAGAAGGACTTCCCTGGAGAAGCAGCACCGGGGTGTGATATTGAGCTGGGCGCTGTCCAGCGCGGCTGACTGCCCTTGAGAAGCCATTGAAACAAGGGCCATGCGTCTGGTGAGAGAGGCTGAAGACTTATCCCCTGGTATTTTCTTGAGGCCACCTGTTGCTCTTCCATGAGGCATGGCTCTTCTTCATACCACAGTGGGGCTTCTTACCTGCCACTTGCAGGTGAGGGCTCTTGAACTGCCTTGGAAAATTCCCATTTTTCTGGAGTTCTTTTACTTTTCGTGAATGGAGATGTTGGGGACGTCTGGTTCATCATCCGTCTTTCTGAGCATTCGTGTCCACAATGGCCATTCTGTGCATGGTTGTAGCAATACACTAAGGCTGGTTGTCCGGAAGGGGTCTTTGGCTTTTTGGGTGGTCCGGGTTTGGTCTATGAAAGGTCCATCCCATCGACTATTCTTGCTGAAAGCTTTTCATGCACCAGGAAACTCAGTAAATATCAGAAGTTAAAGCATAAGCCTACCACGCCCCGGATTTACTCCTAATGTCTCTTCAAAGTGCAGCCCGATGCGACGATGACAAATGATTTTCTCTTAATGTCATTTTACATAACCCTTTTTTCTGCATGAGTAGTTCAGTGTGAAGTCTGTTAAATAGTTTTTAGTATACCATTTTAATTTCCTTGTAGTTTCTTTCACTATAACTTTTTTTTTTTTTTTTTGAGTGAGAGTGAGATTTTTGCTATAGGGTGCGTGTGCTTGTCAGAGAAACAGAGAGACGGAAAGTGAGAAATCAACACCTGGGGGGACGGCCACGCCACAGTTCCTTCTCCTCCATTCTCCTCTTGGGATCCTGGGCATGCACACATGTGCCCGGCATGAGTTCTAAGCCTCTGAGTCCAGGACTCAAACTGCGATGGACTACGTAGGAGTCCGGCAATGTAACCATTATGGCATCTGAGTCCTATCTTTAACTATAATTTTTAAGAGACAGAGAGAAATAGAAAGTGAGAAATCACCCCCTCCAGCAGGGTGGGGGATGTTGGCCATGCCGCAATCCCCTCTCCTCCACTCCTCTCTCAGAATTTTAGGTACACAGGCACACATTCCTGGCGTGGGTTCCAAGCTGCCAGGTCCAGGACTCAAATCACGCTCGAGTACGCGGGAATCCAGCAATTCAACCACTGTGCCATCTGCTGGTCCCATTTTAAAAGTTACTTTCTTAGTGGTTGTCCTGGGATTATACTTAATATCTTTTCTTTTTAAAACAATAATTATTTATTGTTTATTATGATATATTTTTAAAAATTTGCTATAGGACACATGTACTCATGAGAGAGAGGGGAGAGAGAGAGAGAGAGAGAGAGAGAGCAAGCAAGTCACCCGGTCTGGGACTCAAACCAGTTGGCCTTGTGGGAGCCCAGAGCCTCAAACGCCATGCGACCTGCTGGCTACTATACTTAGCATCTTAAATTAAAAATAATCTAGTTTGGGACCAGCAGATGGTGTAATGGTTATGTCGCTGGACTTGTACGTAGTCGACTACAGTTCGAGTCCTGGACCAGGCGACTTGAAATTTGCGCCAGGTGTGTATGCGT